ATGTGTATTGGAATGGCCTTTTTTCGGCGCCGCCTCGGAACTCGATTTTCCGGCGCCGGCCGGAACCGGCTCCGGAACCGGCCCGGGCGCCGGCCCGGGCGCCGGCTCGGGCGTCCGGCCCGGGCGCCGGCTCGGGCGCCGGCCCGGGCGTCGGAATCGGTCCGGGAGGCGTCCCGGGCGCCGGAAGCAGAAATTCAGCATTTTCAAAAGAAAAATGTTCGTTTACCTAACAGCGAAGACTGATAGGTTTAACAAGTTTCTAGTAGGGTCAAAATGGGAGTCTGGGCGCGATCTGGGGAAGTGCCAAGGATTTTTTCTAGCCAACAATTACACACTGCGTGGTCTTCGAGGTCCCAGAACTCCATTCCCAGGCCACATTCTGAATGCCCCGAGCCAACTGTAGGCCAGTTCCCAGAACTCCATTCCCGGGCCACATTTTGAATGCCCGGAGCCAACTGTAGGCCACTTCGTGCTCTTCGAGTTCCCAGAACTCCATTCCCGGGCCACATTTTGAATGCCCGGAGCCAACTGTAGGCCACTTCGTGTTCTTGGGTTGGGCTGATGATGCCTTTGAGCCAACTGGAGCCACTTCGTGTTGAGGCTTCTGAGCTTGAGGCTGAGGCCTTCTTGAGAAGGCTTGAGGCTCAGGCCTTTGAGGCTGAATGAGGCTGAGGCTGGCTGGCTGAGGCTGAGGCTGATGCAGGCTGAGGCTGAGGCAGCTGAGGCTGAGGCCGAGGCTGAAGGCAGACTGAGGCTGAGGCTGAAGCAGGCTGAGGCTGAGGCTGAGGCAGGCTGAGGCTGAGGCTGAGGCAGGCTGAGGCTGAGGAGGCTGAGGCTGAGGCTGAGGCTGAGGCAGGCTGAGGCTGAGGCCGAGGCTGAAGGCAGACTGAGGCTGAGGCTGAAGCAGGCTGAGGCTGAGGCTGAGGCAGGCTGAGGCTGAGGCTGAGGCAGGCTGATGCTGAGGCAGGCTGAGGCTGAGGCTGAGGCTGAGGCTGATGCAGGCTGAGGCTGAGGCAGGCTGAGGCTGAGGCCGAGGCTGAAGGCAGACTGAGGCTGAGGCTGAAGCAGGCTGAGGCTGAGGCTGAGGCTGAGGCTGAGGCTGAGGCTGAGGCTGAGGCAGGCTGAGGCTGAGGCTGAGGCAGGCTGAGGCTGAGGCCGAGGCTGAAGGCAGACTGAGGCTGAGGCTGAAGCAGGCTGAGGCTGAGGCTGAGGCAGGCTGAGGCTGAGGCTGAGGCAGGCTGATGCTGAGGCAGGCTGAGGCTGAGGCTGAGGCTGATGCAGGCTGAGGCTGAGGCAGGCTGAGGCTGAGGCCGAGGCTGAAGGCAGACTGAGGCTGAGGCTGAAGCAGGCTGAGGCTGAGGCTGAGGCAGGCTGAGGCTGAGGCAGGCTGAGGCTGAGGCTGAGGCTGAGGCTGAGGCTGAGGCAGGCTGAGGCTGAGGCTGAGGCTGATGCAGGCTGAGGCTGAGGCAGGCTGAGGCTGAGGCCGAGGCTGAGGGCTGAAGGCAGAGGCTGAGGCTGAGGCTGAAGGCTGAGGCTGAGGCTGAGGCTGAGGCAGGCTGAGGCTGAGGCTGAGGCAGGCTGATGCTGAGGCAGGCTGAGGCTGAGGCTGAGGCTGATGCAGGCTGAGGCTGAGGCAGGCTGAGGCTGAGGCCGAGGCTGAAGGCAGACTGAGGCTGAGGCTGAAGCAGGCTGAGGCTGAGGCTGAGGCAGGCTGAGGCTGAGGCTGAGGCAGGCTGATGCTGAGGCAGGCTGAGGCTGAGGCTGAGGCTGATGCAGGCTGAGGCTGAGGCAGGCTGAGGCTGAGGCCGAGGCTGAAGGCAGACTGAGGCTGAGGCTGAAGAGGCTGAGGCTGAGGCTGAGGCTGAGGCTGAGGCAGGCTGAGGCTGAGGCAGGCTGAGGCTGAGGCTGAGGCAGGCTGAGGCTGAGGCTGTGACTGCGACTGCCGTTGCCACTGCGACTGCCATCGCGAATGCGACTACGACTGCGAGAACAGCAGAATTCTACAACAGGATTCTCATCTGAATGTTAAGGGGAATGCTTCCAAATATGCTCCTACACATCGCTGTTAGGTTGCTTTGCCGGGATAATTGAATGGCCTTTTTTCGGCGCCGCCTCGGAACTCGATTTTCGGGCGCCGGCCGGAACCGGCTCCGGAACCGGCTCCGGACCCGGCCAGAGCGCCGGCCCGGGCGCCAGCTCGGGCGTGCAGCCCGGGCGCCGGTGGAAAAGATGCCAGGCCAGCGCTGCAGCGGGAGCACGATTCGGAACGAGCCGGGCCCGAAAATGAGGCCGGCGCCTCAGCGAGAGCAGCATTTTGGAAAAAGATGCATGCCTGTTTTTTTCTTTTTTTTAAAAAAAAAAAAAAATACGCGGGGGGGGTCGAATACTCCTAAGACATCATCAGGGGAAGAGGGAGAGTAATACTCATATTGAGTAATTGTGGAGGAGGAGGGGGAGGAGGAGGAGGAGGAGGAGGAGGAGGAGGAGGAGGAGGAGGAGGAGGAGGAGGAGAGGGAGGAGGAGAAGGAGGAGGAGAAGGAGGAGAGGAAGGAGGAGAAGGAGGAGGAGGAGGAGGAGGGGGTGGGGAAGAGGATTTATGGTGAGGGAAAGATGAAGAGTACGGTGCGGAAGAGAAGGAAGGAACCACCGCTCCCACCACTACCACTACTAACTCGGCTACAACCACCACTTCCACGACGACCACGACCACGACCACAACCCCTGCGCGACGCGACGACCGATCTCCGTCTCCCCCCTCTCGTTCTTGCTCCTTGCTGGCCACCCCTGCTTGTGGTTCGCCCCCCCGTCCTTTTCTTCCTTCCCCTCCATCTTCCTCCTCCCCCTCCTCCACGAGCGGTGCCTTCGCAGGAGACTGCGGCCCCGCGTGCATTCGGTTTATGTCCAGCGAAATTATTCCAACGACGTCCGTGCTACTCTGCGTCGGTAATCCGTTGATTTGACGCTTCCGGAGGAAACACAGCCAGGCCAGGGAATTTGGCATGCTCCCACAGATGCATCTGATCCGCACTGTGCGCCACGAGTGCCACCAGGCCGTGCCTTTCAGAGACCTGGCCCTGGCGGTGGCTGGGGCGACACCTAAGGCCTGAACCCCAATATCCCTGGGCCCCCGTGCGCGACGAGGCTCGGGGACCCACTCGGGCTTCCCCGGTCCAGGGGGAGGAAAGGGGAGAAGGAGGGGTAGGAGGAGAGAGGAGAGAAGGGGGATGGGGAGGAGAAGGAGGGGGAGAAGGGGGGGGAGGAGGAGGGGGAGCAGAGAGGCGCGTCGCCTAAAAATTGCTCACTGTGTCATGGGCATGGGACTTGATAGCTGTAATGGTTGCAAAGATGGGGCATCGGTCGATTTCACGGCGCCGCTCTCGCCATTCACGCCGCGCACATTCGTCTTCAAAGTTCGAAACGGCTTCCGGGATGGAGGGGGGCCGTTTTCAAAACAGCGCCCCCGCCTCGCCACCGCGCACACTCGTTGTGAAGAGGTTGCGGCGGCTCCAAGGACGCAGCGCAAAACCGCACATCTTCAGCTCAACACTTTGCTACACCTTCAGGGCAGATCTCAAAGTGTGGCTCTCGCGTCAGCGCCGCGCGCGTCAGCTTCATAAAAGCTTGCAGCAGCTTCAGGGGTGGGGCACAGGTCACAAACAGAACGGGGCTCTCGCCGTAGTGCCGCACATTTTCTCCCTGAGAACTCAGCGGCGCTTTCAAAGATGGTGCTCAGGTCACTATCAAAATTGGGCGTTCGCCTGAACGCCGCGCACACTCATGCGTTAAACTGTGCAATAATTACGAGATGCAAGGGTGGACGGCGGCTCATGTTCGACATGGCTGTCTGGCCTCATCTCCGCGAACAATTATCGGAACGGCTTGCAACCTCATTTTCGAAACTGGGTTCTCGCTTTAGCGCCGCGCACACTCGTGGATCTTGTTCCGCACATAAGGAGGAGAGGGTGGCTCCTTTTCAAAATAGAGCGGTCGGTTGAGATCCATCAATCTAAAATTAGGTCGGGCATGTCCCCTCTCAGGCGGCAGTTGGCCGAAACATGAAACATAGTCCAAACATACTTTTCAAAGTATTCAAAAATACCCCCCAAATCGTCCCCATACTATTCTTGGGCTACTTTTGAACATTCCTCCTGTAGAGGGACAGACCTGACTTAAGTCTACAGCCCCGGCGCGTCAACGAACGCAGCACTGCACGGATCGAGGGACCGACCTTTCTTCGTGGAGCTCTCGCTTTGGAACTTCCTCGGAGGTCCTGATCAACAGTGGGAACTTGAGCAGCAGCTGTACAGGTGGGGGGGCTGACTTTTTCGAAAAGGGTGATCTCGCTGGCCGCCCCGTGGAATTCTTTCGCGTTCCTGAATACGCGCCGGGAGGGGGCAAGGCAACGAATTCTCCAAACGGGGCCCTCAAGAAAATCGGGGGCCTACCTGGGGCTGGTTTTTCAAGGGGGGCATTCTCGTAGTGAAAATGAAAATGTGAGGATGGGACTTGGGACAGGAGGGTGTGTTGCAGCATCGCTCAGGCATCTTGGGCTTACCCTGGCCCTTCTCCTCATGCATCCTCCCTCCCCCTTCCTACCTCCTATCTCCTCCCTCCTCACTCCCTCCTCCTCCTCCTGCTCCTCCTCCTCCTCCTCCTCCTCCTCCTCCTCCTCCTCCTCCTACCTCCTCCGTCCTCCCGCCTCCTTCCTCCCACCTCGTCCCTCCTACCTGCTCCTCTTCCCTCCTCCTCCTCCTCCTCCCCCTCCCCTCCTCCTCCTCCTCCTCCCTCCTCCTCCTCCTCCTCCTCCTCCTCCTCCTCCTCCTCCTCCTCCTCCTCCTCCTCCTCCTCCTCCTCCTCCTCCCCTTTTCTCCCCCCCTCCCACCTCCCTCCTGCCGCCTCGCCGCCCCTCCCACCTCCTTCCTGCCGCCTCGCCCCCCCTCCCCGCCTCCTCCCTCCCGCCGCGCACCGCTCATAGGAGAGCGCCTCAGCGTCGGCCCCGCGTCCCCCCGGGCGATGGGCAGTCGGCCTTGTCCCCGAAGTTGCTGTCGGAGGGGCCCGTCACGTCGGTGGACCTCAACCCCCGGGGCCGGAGGAGGAGGAGGAGGAGGAGGAGGAGGAGGAGGAGGAGGAGGGGCGGAGGCGGAGGAGGAGGAGGAGGAGGAGGAGGAGGAGGAGGAGGAGGAGGGGAGGAGGAGGAGGAGGAGGAGGAGGAGGAGGAGGAGAGGAGGAGGGGGCGGAGGCGGAGGAGGAAGGAGGAGGAGGAGCACAGCGTAGAAGGGGGGGGGGGGGGGGCGAATCCGACGCAGCCCTCCTCGACCCCCGCCTCTGTCCGATCCAGCCTGAGGTCTCTGAGAGCAGCCCGAGCCGCCATCTCATTGGTGGCGGGTCTGTACATATATATATATATATATATATATACACACTAGAACTATCGCGCGCTTCGCGCGCGCTCAAGTTCTAGCGAGGCTTGATAGGCCAATTCATGTAATGTCATTTTGGTCGCTTCTTGCGTCCAGGGACTCCCTTGGAGGCCCTACGCAAGCCTCGGAATCGTATAGAAGAGAAGTGCGGAAACGCAGCAATCATTAATTTCCTTTAGGTATTCAACGATTTGGGGTCCTCAAAGGCTTCCTGGGTTATTTTTTTGGGAGGTGAGGGGGTCTGAATTGCGGTCTGTTGTGCAAGAGTAGACCGGGGGCCAAACTGGGGAAACAAATAAGAAGGAATTGTAGGATTTCCATGTTTTTCCAGTTCCTCGGCGCTGTTCGGCGCTCTTTTTTGTTTGTGCCTCGCGGGTTTTGTTGGCAAGGCCCCTCAGGGGTGTGGGATTTTCCGGACCCCCCGGGGGTTCTGGAGGCCTCCTAAAGGCCTGGAGAGCCGTCGGAAGGGTGTCTCGGGCTGCGCGGTAGCGTGTTGGGCCGTTCTTTACATTCTGGAGGCTCCTTGGGGTCGTCTTGGGCTGTCGTTGGGCGTCTTGGGGGCCCCCCGGGAAGCCAGGAGGCGCGGTACCGGCCAGATGTCAGGGCCCGTCCTGGGCCCGCCTTGAGCTTGTCTTGGGAGGCTTTTGGGCAGTCTTGGGGCGGTCTTGGGAGTCTCTTCGGTCGTCTCTGAGCGTTGGAAGCATGAAAAGCTGTTGCTCTCTGGGCTCTCTCGGGACGTCTCTCGGAGTTCTCTTGCAATGTCTTGGAGGCGTCTGGCCTCCTGGGAGTCTGGAGAGCCGTGCACAGACTGTTTTGGACTGCTTGAGAGCATCTTCGGCTGTTCTTTTGCATTCTGAAGGGTTCTTGGGGCTGTCTTGGGGCGCCCTGGAGCGGTTTGGGAGCTCACCGGGAGGCCGGGGGGCCTTGGCCCGTCTTGGGGCCGTCCTGAGAGTCTTTTGGGTGGTCTTGGGGCAGTTTGGGGAGCCTCATCGGCGCTCTTGGAACGTTGGAAACTCGAAAACGCGAGAAGCCAAAAAGATAAAACAACAATGACAATCAACGACTTTGGCATCTTAGGGCCGTCCTGTGACGCCTCTCGGACCTCTCTTGGGGTCTCTTGGGGGCCACCGGGGAGCCTCGAGAGCCGCTTGAAGGTTGACTTGGGCTGCTTGGGGGCATCTTGGGCCACCATTTCGCATTCTGGGGGGTCCTGGGAGGCGTTTTTTTTGTCCACTGGAACGAAGAGAAGTACACACAAGCCGTCACAAGCTTCTTGTCCTCACTCCCTGTGGCGGTGTATTCTAAGGAAAATGCCGTAGGTATCCAAAGTTCCCAAATTCTCGCCACTGTTCATGAATGTAAGAACTTGGTTGCACTGGTGAGTGCTGCAAGCACGTAGCGACTCATCACCACATTTGTCCTTCCAAGAACCAGAGAATCCTTCCGGAAGCGGTGGTGGCTCATCAGACCCATTGGCGCACCCATCCCATTCAGAGTCACACATAGAATGAGGCGTGATGCCGAACTGCAAGACCCGCGGATTACAAGCGACAGCTCCCAGATCCCAATCCCGCTGGTGCCAGAAACAGGGACGCTCCCAAGGACCACTTATGAAATTGTATCCTGGTTGCAACTCGCACAGAGAAGCAATGTTTACGTGCTTCGTTCCGTAGTCGAAGTGAACGTCCGCTCTCAAAACGATGGTAATACCCGAATGGGAAGGATTCATGCCACTCCAAAGTCGCAGGGCTTTGTCGTGCAGGACCGTGTGAAGTGAGCCCTCATCAGACTCCAATAACGCGCGCACTTTGTCAACAGCCGTGGCGGATGTATCATATATGTATCGCAAGCGAGGTCCGTACGTCGAGCGTATTGCCTGCTTGAACTCGTCCTCGCTCCACCGTGTCCATTCCTCGGAGCAGAAGCCACCTCTGTAATCTTTTTCTGTGCACCGGACTTGCAGCGTAGTGCTGACGATTACATTCACCCTTGTGCCGCGTGACTCCATTTGAGGCAGCTGTAGCTGGTCTTCAACCTTCGGCCAGGTCTCCTGAAAGCTTCTCATGATCCCGAAAACAATGACATCTAGTCGTGCCCCTTCCAAATCGCCACGTTCTCTCTGATAGCCTTCCGGCTTCCTCAAGCCTGGCGCGTGCTCTGCCGAGGTCGTATTGCCCTCCTGACTGTTCACTGGAATCACGCTGGTGACCCAATCCTTTGGGTCAAAATACTGTGATAAGCCGATCCTCCCATCGGCATGGTGAGGATCCACAAGGACGGTGAGTGCGCTTACATGTTGAAGTTGCCAAGAGACGGCCAGAGCCAGGGCGGCCCGAGCCATCTGGGGCCACGGCGGCCTGAGCCAAGTGGCTTGAGCCAAAATGGCTACGGAGGGGGTCCTGGGAGGCGTCTTGGGCCCTCCTGGAGCGCTATGGAAGCTCCCCGTAAAGGCCGGGGGGGCGGTACCGGGAGCGTCCCCGAAATGTCACGGGGAGGCGTGGGACCCGGAGCCAGGGGGGCGTTCTTTTGTGTTCTATATGTATATGTATATGTATATGTATATGTATATGCATATGCATATGTATATGTATATGTGTATATATATACATATAGATCGGAAGTTGGGGGGGAGGTCGAAGTGGAATGGAGAACCCCCCACAGGGAAATCGGTTTCGGTTTCGTGTTCGTGCGTGCCGTGCGTGCGGGCGCGGCGAAGCTGCGCGGGCGGGCGAGAGGAAAGTCTCCTGTGGCTGAGGCGCGGCCGGACCAAATGATTCTCCCTCCGGCAAGCGATGGCGCGCGGTGTCCCGCCGGTGTCCCGCTTGTGGCTGGGCCCCGGCCAGACCAAACGATCTTCCCTGCGGCAAGCGGTGGCGCGCGGTGTCCCGCCGGTGTCCCGCCGGTGTCCTGGTGTGCCACTGGTGCGAAAACGATAGTGAGACCGATGACAAAATCGATTGGGAGATCGATAGTGAGATCGATAGACCGATAGTGAGATCGATCGTGAGATCGATAGTGAGATCGATAGTGAGATGAACAGTGATATCGGTTGTGATATCGAGTGATATCGATAGGGAGATCGTTAATGGGATCCATAGCGAGATCCAGAATGAGATCGACCGTGAAATCAATCGAGTGAGATCGATAGCGAAATCGATCGGGTGAGATCGATAGTGGGATCGATGGTCCCATCGATCGTGAGACCGATAACGACCTCCATTGTGAGATCGATAGAAAAATCGATAGTGAGATCGATGGTGAGATCGATCGTGGACCCGAGAACGACATCGCTTGTGATATCGACAGAGAAGTCGATAGTGAGATCGATTGAGTGGGATCGATAGTGAGATCGATCGAGCGAGATCGATAATGTGATCGATCGAATGAGGTCGATTGTGAAAGCGATAGTTGGGTCTATTGTGAGATCGACTGAGTGAGACGTTTGGTCCTCCCCCCTTCAACTCTCATACCATCCAGGGATTTCAGCTCAAGGCCCCTGGTGCACTCGGCACGCGGGGGGGCCGCGAACGCACCCACTTCGGTCATGCACGCTCTGCCAGCCGAAATGCTTGAGCACGTGGAACAGTTGGTTGCGGGCGAGGTGTCCACGTGCGGGGCCGCCTCTCTCGAGATCGTCAGTAGGCGCATGCAGCTGGTGGCGCGCGCGCTGTGGCGTAGACGGTTTCGCTGCCCACCTCCAGAAGACACGGGCCCGGTCGGCAACATCGGCGTCGTTCTCATGGGTGACTTCGCACAGTTGCCGCCCGTGCTGGCCTCGCGCGGTCGCGGGCGCCCGACTGTTCGAGCCGCGGCGCTGGCCGGCCAGAAGACCTTCGCCGAATTTGAGGACGTCTCACGTTTGCGTGGCATTCACCGCCAGAAGGGGTGACGATGCATTCAAAGAATCAGCTATGAGACTCAGAGACGCGAGGGGTTGGTTCTCGCGCCGGAGAACCAAGCTGTCGGGAAGATCAACGGTGGGCAATTGGCAGCCAGGGCACCCCTTCACGGCGCGCCAGGCTTTGCCAGCGCGGGGGCGTCGTCGCGAGGACATTGGCACGACGCAACGACCCGCGCGGATTGCGCATGAGCGCTGATGACTTCCGACAACTCCGCAGGGCACTCCACCTGCGCGTGGGGGCGCGGGTGACGTTGACGCAAACTTCTTTATGGGGCGCCCCCACTGCGCCCCTCGGCCCTTGAATGGGGCTCGGGAAGTGGCGGTCGCCATCGCGCGCGCCTCCCCAGGAGGGCAGCGAACTGACCAGAGTTCCCTCGCATGCGTCGGCCATCCAGCTCCACCGTCGGAGCGTTTCCCCGGGGTGGGCCCGCTAGCCCAATTCCTGACTTCGCGTTCGTGCATTTTCCCGCGTACAAGGGCCCCGCTTGCTTCGACAATCCCCCAAGGACCTGGGCGCCGGCCCCCCGCGCAGAGGCGCGGCGCAAGACCTTGCAGTCGTTGGCTCGCGCAGGCATGCCCTTGCGCATGGCATGGGCGCTCGCTGCCCACAAATCGCGGGGCGTCGCGGCGCGCGCGGGCTGCGTCGCGCCCTTTGCTGGATGTCGAGGACCCACCCCGGCGGGCAAGCTCGGGGTCGCCTCCGCGGCATGGGCCCGCGTCGCGAACTGGGAGTCCATGGCCTTTCGCAAGCCCCCGCGCCCAAGACGGACTCTCTGTCCGCGCGCCTGACGAAGGACTTCTTCGCCAGGGCAGACAGCAAGGCAGACGCCGCGTTTGCCAGACTGCTCGAGAGGAGAGGCGCTTTTCCTGAGGCGCTGCTGGCTGAGCACGACCAACACTTACGGGCCGCCGCGCTCGCAAAATGATGGGCGCGAGCCTCGCGGCGCTGAGCTGGCAGATCTGCAGGCGATGCTGTCCGCGGTGGGCGCGGCGCCTATCAGCGACGGCGCCCCCCGGTACTGCGAGGAGCAATCGGACCGCAAAGCCACCTGCCCGCGGAGCATCGCGGCCTCGTTCCGCGCGCAGAAACCGCCGAAGAAGAACCCGGGCCAGGCTTTGCCAGCCCGCGGGGAGAGCGGCTCAGGCGGCAAGACCTCGTCGACGCAGACGGGCACTCTGGGGCCCGCGGCTTCGGAGGCGGAGGCCGCGGCTGAGGCCTCTGCGGCGGCGACAATGATCGACGCGGGCTTCAACGAGGTTGACATCGCCCGTGCGTTGGAGCAGACGTCGTTCCAGTTCTGGCAAGCGTTGGTGCTCCTGCTCAACGGCCTGGACGCGCAGCGCACAAAATACGACGCGTTCGAACGGTTCCGCCGCCATTGTACCAAAACGGTCCGGACTCTGGACTGCGAAGTGTTGGGGGGTGGCGAAGTCCTGGCCCAGTACTCGCAGCGCGCGCGCTGAGTTGCAGTTCGACGCGCAGGTCTCGGGCCCGGGGCAGTATGCGGGCCGAACCACGGGCGCGTGCTTCTGGCTGCGCCTCGCAGCAGGCCTGGCCGAACGCGGGCCGGATGTTTTGGCCCATGCCTTGCCAAGCAACACTCCGGCCCGTCGAGCGGCAGGCCAACTGACAGCGCAGGGCGCGCAGCTGTGAATCAGCGGTGTGTCGACGCTGGCGTGCGTCGCTCGCCCATGGGCGTGGCGGCGGAAGCTCTCCGGGCCCGGTCCTGCGGCGGCGAAGCCGCCATGCTGCTCAGAGCGGACACGAAACATACTATACCCAGCCTCTGCTGGCCTGGATGTCCGGGCCCCCGTGCGCACCGAGGCGCTGTGCACTCGCTGGGTGCAGAAGCTGGCAACTAAAAAATACGCGGACGAGTTGGTCGTGATGTCGGCCCCCTTGGAGTTCGGCATCCGCATCGCTGTCATCCCTTTCACTCCACTTCGCAGTGGGCGATCCCGTCTGATGGCCAGAAAACGCCACCGTCGTTGTTCACATGGGCAACAATGATTTGCATTATGTTTATATGTCGCGGGAATCGTAATGGCGCCTGACGCCCGCACCAGACTTGGCCAGTGTGTCGCAGCTCCGCCTCGTCTCGCTGCACGCGGCGCGCACAGACGCTGCCCGGCGTTCGGGCAATAGGGTGTGCCAGGCTTTGCTGGCGCTTCTGCGTCGACCATTTCCGCCGCCTCCGCGTCCGTCGCCTGTGCGACGCTGCGAGGCATCCGCCGCCGGCCCGCTCCCGCCGCCCCCACGTTCCGATGCTCGACCGCGCGGTGCCGGAAAAGCAGCAAGCGTGCGCCATCCCCGAAAGGCTCCCAAGAGGCACCCAAGAGGCCCCCGACGAGCCCCCCAAAAGGCTTCCAAGACCCCCCAAGAGGTCCGAACGACGCGCCCAAACGGCTTCCAAGCCCTTGCAAAATGAACTACATAAATTATTATTTCGTTGGTTCCCGGGGGGAGAACGATGCCAAGGCGCCCAAGAGCGAAGGATGACGTAGACAACTCGACACCAAGGCTCCCAAGAGCGAGCGGCAACGCAACAATCACCACTGCTGCCCATTGCTGGCCCCCTTCCCCCCCCGACCTCCTTATCATCCGCAGGATGGTCGTGTGTGTATATATATATAGATATAGATATGGTCGTCTCCCCCCTGTGATCATACCTGTCTCTGCTTCTCTGCTTCTTTCTCGTGTTCCTCCCTCTTCTGTCTCCCCCCCCACTCCTCTTCCTCCTCCTCGAGAACGGGGGATTGTGGAGTACCTCGCCTTTCGAAGAATGTTTTCATATAGTTGTTTCGTTGAGTTTCCGAACATTATTCCTCTTCTTCCTTTTCCTTCTTCTCCTCCTCCCCCTCTTCCTTTTCTCCCTCTTTTCCTACTCCTCCTCTTCCTCCTCCTTTCTTCTCCTCCTCTTCCTCCTCCTCCTCCTCTTCTTCTTCGTTCCCCCAGAATCGAGCTGTTTTCTTTTCCTGCCCCCCCCCAAACAAAAAAAAAAAAACGCGGCGTTGCCTCCCGTTGTTTTGTGTCTTTCTCGATTATGGGAGAAGGGGGGGGCAGGAGGGGGGGGGGGGGAGGAGGAGGCAGAGGAGGACGAGAGGGAGGCCCCAGATTTGTTTTCCTCCGTTTGCCCCCCCCCCCATCCCCCTGAAAAAAAAAACGCGAAGTCGTTTTTTATATATATATATATATATATATATATATATATATAATTTGTTCGGGGGGGGGGGCGGCGGCGAAAAAAAAACAAAAATCCGACGTGGCCTCATTTGCCCTCACCTCTGGAAGGATCCCGATTGAAAACCACCACATCATAGTGAAATCCTCCACAGGAGCATTCCTACCGAAACCCTCCAAAGAAGGATTGCTATTGAAATCCTCCACATGTTGGTTCCTATTGGAACCACCTGCAGAAGGATTGCGAATGAGATGCTTCGAAAGAACGCCCCCGTTGGCATTGCATTGGCATTGGTTTGGCAATGGTTTGGCATGGCGCTGGAATTGTACTTTGCCGTGCGGTGGCATTGCGCTGGCACTTCGCAATGATTGCGCTGGCGAATCCTGATGGAAACCTCCACAGAAGAACTCCCATTAAAACCCCCTTGCGAAGAAGACTCCGCCTGAAACCCTCCGCAAAAAGGGTTCATACTGAAACCCTCCGCAAAAGGATTCCGTGCGAAGCCTTCCACTGAAGGACTCCTATTGGAACATGCCACAACGGATTTCCCCAATTGGCATCGCATTGGCATTGGAGCGGGACCGCCATGGCATTGGTTTTGCATTGCGTTGGCACTGCGTTGGCATTGCGCTGGCGAGTCCTAGTCGGGCGCTCCACAATAAAATTCTTGTTCATCCACCCCAGCAAGAAGGATGCCTAGTGACCCCCCCACACACGAAAAGGATTCACATTGAAGTCCTCCACAGAAGGACTGCATTTGAAACCCTTCACATACACATTCCTATTGAGCAATGGTTCGCAATGACATCAGCCCAGAAGGATTCTCATTGAAAAGCCAAGGGAAGATGCCCCGAATTGGGATTCGTGTGGCATTGCGTTGGCACTGCTTTGGGACTGCGCTGGCATTGCGCTGGCGAGTCCTCATCCCTCCCTTCGTAGGAAAATTCCTAGTGACCCCCCCCCCGCAGAAAAGGATTCCCTTTGAAATCTGCCACAAAGGATTGCGCCCAACGACGTTGCATTGGCATCGGCTTTGAGATCGCACTGGCATTGCCCTGGCATCGCGTTGGCACTGCTTTGGCATTGCGCTGGCATTGCGCTGGCGAGTTCCAATGCCTCCCGTAGCAACACGATTCCCATTGCAACCCCCAGGGGGGTTCTTATCGGAATCTGCCACACAGGATTGCCCCCATCGGCGTGGCATTGGCATTGGATTGGGGTCGCCCTGGCATCGGTTTGGCATTGCGGTGGCACTGCTGCGGCATTGCGCTGGCGAGTCCTAGTGCCTCCCTTCGCACAAGGATTCCTATTGAAACCCTCCGCAAACAACAAATCCTTCTGACATCGACGACAAAACATTGCCCCAGACGGCATTGCATTGACATCGGATTTGAGATCGCATTGGCATTGAGCTGGCATCGCGCGCACTGGCACTGCTTGGGCATTGCGCTGGCGAGCTGCAATGTCTCCCGTCGCAGAAGGATTCCTATTGCAACCCGCCGGGGGATTCTTAGTGGAATCTACCACAAAGGATTGCCCCCATCGGCATAGCATTGGCATTGGATTGGGGTCGCCTTTGCATTGGTATGGCATTGCGTTGGCACTGCTTCGGCATTGCGCTGGCGAGTCCGATTGCATCCCTTCGCAGAAGGATTCCGATTGACCCCCCCCCCTGCAGAAAAGGATTCCCATTGAAATCTACCACAAAGGATTGCTCCCAAACGGCATTGCATTGGCATCAGCTTTGGGATCGCACTGGCATTGCGCTGGTATCGCGTTGGCATTGCGCTGGCATCGCGCTGGCATTGCGCTGGCGAAGTCCAATTCCTCCTGTCGCAGCGAGGTCCCTATTGCAACCCCCAGGAGGATTCTTATTGAAATCTAACACAAAGGTTGCCCCCACTGGCATAGCATTGGCATTGGATTGGGGTCACCTTGGTTTTGATTTGGCATTGCGTTGGCAGTGCTTCGGTCTTGCGCTGGCGAGTCCGATTGCCTTCCTCCGCAAAAAGGATTCCCTTTGAAATCTACAGTAGATGGACAATATATTCGAACCCTCTCACATTCGAGGAAGATTCTAAATCACCCCCGCGCCCCCGACATCAATGTTGATCTCAGTAAAGGGTGCTTTGGGGTTCGAATATTTCTGTCCACTCACGCCCCCCCGTCGCCACGCCATCAATATTGATTTCGGGGGTCGGGGGGGCATCTTGGGCCACAGGGTTCGAATATAATGTCCATGTACGGTCCTCCTCCTCCTCCTCCTCCTCCTCTTCCTCCTCCTCCTCCGCCTCCGCCTCCTCCTCCTCCTTCTGTTCCTCCTCCTCCTCCTCCCCCTCCTCCTCCAGAGCAGCGGAGGGCCGGGAGGAGATTTTGGCCTGGATCGCAACGGAAATCGCGGTGATGATCGTTTGATCTGGGATCTCGGTGGAGATCGACGTGGAGATTTTGGCATGGATCACGGCAGAGATCGACGAGGAGATTTGGGTAAAGACCGGCGCGGGGATCGCGGTGGAGATTTTGGCCTGGATCGCAGTGGAGATCGCCGTGAAGTCGTGGGGATACTTCACAGCGAAGATCGTGGTGAAGTATCGGATGGCAGCGGAAATCGCAGCGGAGATCGCCGCGGAGATGGCAGTGGAAATTCCGGCTTGGATCGCGACGGAGATCGCCGGGCAGATTTTGATTTGGCAGTTTGGCTGGGTTGTCGTGACGGTTTCTCGCATGGGTCGCAGCGGGGGGCACTTGGGAGATCTTCGCCTGGATCGTGGGGGCAAAGTCGCCGTAGAGATGTGGGGCTGGATCGTGGCGGGGGGTGCCGTTGAGATTTTGGCCTGGATCGCGACGGAGATCGCGGTGATCATTTGATCCAGGATCTCGGTGGTGATCGGCATGTAGTTTTTTGGCCTGGATCGCGGCGAAGATCGACGAGGAGATTTAGGTATGGACCAGGGCGGAGAGCGCCGTGGAGAATTTGGCCTGGATCGCGGGTGTAGTCGCCATGGTGTTGTTTTGTACTTGGATCGCGGCGGGGATCGCTGTGGAGATTTCGGTGTGGACCGACGAAGGTCACCCTGGAGATTTGGGCCTGGACTGCGGCACAAATCGCCGTCGAGATTTTGGTTTTGATCGCATCGGGGGGCCCGTGGAGATTTGGGGCTGGATCGCAGCTGAGCTCGCCGTGGAGATTTGGATAAAAACCAGAGCGGCGGTCGCCGTGGAGATTTTGCCCTGGGTCGCCGCAGGGATCGTCGTGGAGATGTTTGCATGGATCGCCACGGCCATCGTCGTGGAGATATTGGCGTGGATAGTTACTGACATCGCCGTGGACGCTTTGACCTAGGATCCCCGTGCAGATCGATGTGGAGATTTCGTGAGAAGAGATTTTGGCCTGGATCAGGGAGGAGATTTTGGCCTGGATCGCAATGGAGATCGCCGTGGATATTTTCGCATGGATCTCGGCGGGGATCGCCGTGGAGGTTTTGGCATGGATCGCTTGGATCGCAATGAAGACCGCGGTTGAAATTTGGACCTGCATCGCAGTGGAGATCGGAATGATCGGGGAGGCTTGGACCGCTGCGGAAAGTGCAATGGATATTTGGGCCTGGATCGCAGCGGAGATCGTCGTGATCATCTGATTCTGGATTTCAGAAGAGATCGACGTAGCTTCGATCGCATCGAAGATTGTGGCCCAAATCGCAGCGGGGATGGTGGACGAGATTTGCACCCGGATCGCGGCGGAGATCGTGGTGGACATTTCGGCCCGGATTGCAACGGATAACGCGTCGCTCTCCTGTCGATCTCGACTTCCTCCCTACCTCCACCGAGTCAGAGACAGAGACAGAGAGAGGGAGAGATCGTCAGACGAGTCCCACTCGGACTGGCACATCGCCGGTGGCCGCCTCACGAGCCAGCTGTGCACGGTCCCTATCCTCTGAGACTCTGGAGGCTCTTGCAGGACGTCGCGGGTGTCATAAGAAAGAACCCTGACGGAAAGACGGTTGGGATGAGATCGAGAAGTCCGTGGGCGCCCGTCTCGAAACAAAAATCGCGACGTCGGATGTCTGCGGAGGGCGGAAGGCAGGGCGCGCATGGCGGCATCTCGGAGCTTCGCATTGTGAGGTTGGCTCGGGAGAAACGGGCTGGACCACCTCGCGCGCGGCATCTCGGAGCTCAGTATTCGAAGGATGCCCCAAGCGAAACGGGCCGTTCTACCTCTCGACTCCTGTTAAGCCCTTTCATGCAACTCCATTCCTTATCCCTCCTCCTCCTCCTCCTCCTCCTCCTCCTCATGCCTGCTCCCCCCTCCTCCTCCTCATCCTCCTCCTCCGGCACGTTTTGAGACGTCGCTAAAAGGTATATAAAAATCCTGTTTGGGGAACCCTTTCTCGGAGCCCAGAGTTGCGAGGATGTCCCAGGTCGCACCTGGTCGACGAGTAAGCTGTCGGGACGGCACTGTGAGAGGCTCCACCGCCATGCTGCGAACTCAGAAGCAACTTTAAGAGGAAGCGGGGGAGGGCGCGGAAGCGGGGGGGCATGTCGCGATGGTTCCCTCGGGGATGATATCGAGAGGTACGCGGCGCACGTCTCAAAAGAATTAGCCTGGCGAAGGACCCAACCATACGTAGTTGTGAATACCGAAATTGTGGATATATTCCTCGGTGGCGCTCCCTATGGGGCCACGAACCGCATGAAGGGTGCGCCGAAATGTGTGGCGGGGGTACTCAACACGAACAAATATTGTAGTTCTGAGTACGAGAGACTGAGCGCGGGTGGGTCCGAGCGCGAGTGCGTATGTTTGTGAAAGAGTTTGCGTGCGAGCGAGTCTATCTATGTACATGAATGGGAGCATGACTCGGCCCAGTGTAATTGCATCTGAATGTGAACGGTTTGAGCATGACTGGCTCTGAGTACGCGTGACACTGAATGTGGCCGCCGCAAGGACCCCCCCAGAATTGCCGTCGGCAGCGTCCGCACGCCGCGACGCCCATGTCGGCGCGCCCCGCACGAGGATAGCGCCCGTTTCCTTCTCTTCTTTTCCTCCCTCTTTGCCCGCGCACTCCAAAGTCCAAGGCTGCGGGCGCAGCGCAGCGCGGAGCCCCCGCGACGCGCGCAGGTCGCCGCGGAGGGGTCCCAGCGACGCGCGCGGGTCGTCCGCTGCGCGGAGGAAAGAGAGCTAGCCGGCTTGCTGATCGCAGGCAAGGCTCCGGCCGCTGGGCAGAGCGACGACGGGCGAACGAGGCGCCGGGCAAAACGCAGCGCGCCGGTCGCCCTGAGAGGGCCCCAGCGACGCGCGCGGGTCGTCCGCGGCGCGGGCCCAAACAGGTAGTCGAGCAGTCGAGAGAAGGCGCGGCTCGGGGGGGGCGCTCCACAAGTCAGGCCTCGCGGATAAACTCGGTGAAGCCGAGCTCCCTGGCGAGGGCCGTCGCCTCCCTCCTGCACCGCTTCGCGCGCGCCGCAAACTGCTCCAGCTGCATCCGCAAGCCCTCCGGCGGCCCTGCCAGGAAGAACTCGATGCGCGGCGCCCGCATGAGCAGGAGGTCCTCGTGGCGCGTGGCGCGCGAGAGCAGTGCGTAGAGCTCCAGCCACCAGTCGTCGTCCTCCTTCTTGCCGTTCCCGACCTCGTGGCGGCCGCAGTCCAGGATCACGCCTGGGCGACGTCGGCCGAGGGGGCAGCGCGCCGGGGAGCCGACGGCCCAGGGCGAGAGTCCACAGGACCGAGGTCTGGCCGCGGACTGCTCGCGCCTCGGAGGTCTGGCCGTCCCCGGAGCTCCGTTCCCCCGCCCCGTCGCCTTCTCGCACGGTGCGCCCCTGGCACGCCACCGCGGTGATGACCCTGCCGTGCGAGAACGGGATGCCCGTCCGCGTGACCTTGGAGGTGCGGAAGGTGAACGGCTCCGACGCGCGGGGCTCGATGGACACCAGCGGGCCCGCGAGGTCCCCCGTGAGGCTGTCGTCGTGGCGCTTCAGGTCGTCCACGAAGGGCGCGCTCGCGTACTTCTCCATGCGCACCCAGAACCCCAGCGGCAAGCGCTTCAGGTAAATCCTCTTCTCCCCCTCTCTCGGCTCTCTCGACGTCGTCTCGATCTCGAGGGTCCACGACGATGTGCACGATCTGCCCCTCGGCATCCTTGACAAGGCCGTTCTTGAGGTCGAGCGCTTCCAGGAGCCGGATCCGCATGCCCACGTGCACCAGGAGCAGCCCGTTCATGCCACCGGTGTTCTTCGGGTTGGCACAGTTCATCATCTTGGCGGCGTCCTTGACGCTCATCGTCGGTGCAGACCTGTCGGCGGCCTGCACGAGGAAGAGGGGCTTCTTCAGGACGTCCGCGTCCCGGTGAGCTCGCATGTTCATCCACCGCGCCACGGTGTCCCAATGGGACCCGATCATGTGGCCGTTCTGGAACCTCTCCTCCCGGAGCCGGCGATCATCGGGTTTCAGCTGCATGGCGTCCCATGTGGCCCGGATGGCCGCGGGGACCTGCTTCCCCGGTTTGCGCAGGAACGCCATGAGATCTCGGAGCTTGGTGTCCTTGAAGCGGTTGGACGCCTGGAGCTCGAAGCACAGCGGCGTGTTGCAGAAGAGCTTCATCACGGCCTGGTACTCTGGAGCGAGGTTGATGCCCGCCGCCGCCAGTTCCTCAAAGCTGGAGATGAGCGACACCTTGCCCCCCGTCGGCTTCAGCTGCAGGAAGTCTCCCAGGTGGATCACGATGGGTGAAGAACCAAATGGCTACGTATACTTATGCTGCTCGTTTTGCTTGAGACGTCTTCGAAGAACGTGTTTGTTTCGTTTGGATGGTCCTCGACGAGTGTGCTCGTTTCGCTCGAAGCCTCCTCCAACCTTTACTGTTATCGAATGTTGATATATTAATGGTGAAGAATATAGAAGTGAAGCTCAGAGGCGCGCGCGCGCGGTGGCCGGGTCACCCGCGCGCGCGCATCTCCGATATGGCTTACTGAAGGCCCTATGGTAATCCTAGTGTAGGCCTAGTGGTATAGGCCTAGGTGTAGGGCCTAGGCGTGTAGGCCTAGGGTTAGGCCCTACAAGGTAGGCTTAGAAGTAGGCCCTAGGGGTAAGCCTAGGGTAGGCCCAGGGTAGGCCCCAGGGGCACGCCTGGGGTAGGCCTCGGTGTAGGCTCTAGGGGTAGGCCCAGGGTAAGCCTAGAAATGGGCCTAGGCGTGTAGGCCTAGGGTAGGCCTAGGGGTAGGCCTTCGGGGGAATCCTAAGGGTAAGCCCTAGGGGTAGGCCCTAGGGGTAGGCTCTAGGGTAGGTCTAGACCTAGTGACAGGCCCTAGGGGTAGGCCTAGGTTAGATAAACCAGCGGTGGCAACGTTTAAAATTATTTGCTCGTACCAGGATAATCAACCGCAGCGATGAACAAGTTCAGGGGGCCAGGGGGACAAGAAGAAAATGACATAGAAAGAAAAATATAATAAAGAAAGAAGAAAAGAAAGAGGAGAAGGATGAGAAGGAGGAAAAGCAGGAGAAGCAGAGGAAGAGGAAGAAGCAAACATCCAAAGTTCAAAACTTATTAAATCTAATTTGTAAACGCTCAATGAACATTAAAATGTTCATCTGCTCGTGTAGGGGAACTCATGTGCTTAGTTGTCCCAGGATAATCAATCCCAGTGATAACCAATTTCAGCGGGGCAGGGAGACGAGAAGGAAAATAAATAACAAGAGAAGAAGAGGAAGAGGAAGTAGTTAGAGGAGGAAGAGGAGGAAGAGATGAGAAGGAGGAGAAAGAGCAAGAGGAGAAGAGAAAGGAGGAAGCAAAATTCAGAATTCAAAACTTATCACATTTCATATATACACGCTTAATGAAAATTAGAATTTTCATCTGCTCGTACACGTGCTTAGTTTTCCCCGGATAATCAACCGCGGCGATAAACAAGTTTAGGGGGCCAGGGGGACAAGAAGAAAAAGAAATAGAAAGAGAGAGATAACTAAATACATAAGAAAATAAAGAAAGGAAGGATGAGAAGGAGGAAAAGCAGGAGAAGCGGAGGAAAAGGAAGAAGCAAACATCCAAAGTTCAAAACTTCTTAGTTTTAATGTGTAAACACTCAATGAAAATTAAAATTGTCATCTGCTCGTGTAGGGGAGCTCATGTGCTTAGTTTTCCCAGGGTAATCAACCCCAGCGATTAACAAGTTCAGGGCGCCAGGGGGGGGAGGAGAAGAGAGAGAGAGAGAGAGAGGGAGAGAGAGAGAGAGAGAAAGAGACAGAGAGAGACAGATAGAGAGAGAGAGAGAGAAAAAGAGAGAAAAAGAGAGTACCAGAGGACCATTCAGTCTTGAATTTCGGTGTCTGAATTCTTACATGTATGATTCCTTTCCGAAGCATCCCTCCTGCTCACCCTGACCTGCTCCGTCCACCGTCTGCAACGGAGACGGCCGAACGCGGTTCCACGGAGTCGAGGCGCGCACACGCTTGACATCGATTCAAACAAGCGGCAGCACGCTACGCCTGACTCGCGCGTGAAGCGCTGGCAACAAAATCTGGCACGCAACACAGCGCCCCCGCTGGCTGGCCGTCCCCTGCCTACTCCACCGACCGAATGCTCCGGCTTCTTCTGCCACCATCCCTCCTGCTCACCCTCGACTCCTCTATTCACTATCGGCAAACTGCTGATCGCGGTGTCACGGAAAAAAGGCGCGCACACGCTTGCCATCGATTAAAACAAGCGGCAACGCGCCAAGCTTGACGACCATTCGGACGACCTGGCAGCACGTCGGAGGCGCGACAGTAGATGGACAATATATTCGAACCCTCTCACATTCGAGGAAGATTCTAAATCACCCCCGCGCCCCCGACATCAATGTTGATTTCAGTAAAGGCGGTGCTTTGGGGTTCGAATATTTCTGTCCACTCACGCCCCCCCGTCGCCACGCCATCAATATTAATTTCGGGGGGTCGGGGGGGCATCTTGGGCCACAGGGTTCGAATATAATGTCCATGTACGGGAGCTCCCTTGTGGGGCCACGATCCTCGTGAGTTGTGTGCCGATGCGGTTGCTTTCAAACATGCGAACTGCGAACCATACTGAGACCTTCTGTGGAGTTTTCTGTAACCACGAGGCGTGTATGTTGGGTGATGATGATGACGACGACGACGATGATGATGATGATGATGACGATCTTGATGCGGATGTTGATGGCCATGGCGATGCTGATGATGCCGATGATGCACGAAAATAAAAGAGGATGAGAAGAAGAAAAAGGAAGAAGAGGAAGGAGGAACGCGGGGCACTGCCCTGTGTAAACGAGGACCCACCAACACAAGCGACTGGGAGGCAATAGCGTCGTTTTGTTCCTGCGGTCCACGGACAGGCGCTCCAGCGAGGGTAGGTGAGGATGACGAGAGAGCAGAATGCGATGACGGTAAGAATGAGGATTTCTGCCCCCCCCTTTAAGAGTTCTCTGGTGGCTCGCGGGTCCCCTGGGCCACGGACGGTGAGCGATCTACACGCTTCCCGCGGCAGCTGGCATGGCGGAGGAGGCCACGAAAAGGCGCGAGGCGGCGGCTATCAGATTAAAGAAGTGCTGCGGCGAAACCTGTGGATTGCCCTACAGGGTCAACCCGAACCCCAGATGAAGAAAGGGCCAACATCGGGCCGCAGCTAGGAGGCAGGAGATTCAAGAGTCGATGCACCAACCGAATTTGCAGTAAGCGGAAGGGGGGGACAAATGGTAACAGAAAGCTGGCGGCACGCGGAGGGGGGACAAATGGTAACAGAAAGCTGGCGGGATACAGGAGGAAGAGAAGGAGAGAGAAAGAGGAGAGGGGGCAAAAGAAGGAAAACGGGGAAGGCACACGCGCACCAGTGCCAGGGCAAGACTATCACTGGACGGTCCCTCACCACACCGCGCCTGGGTGGAGGGGGCAGAGTACAAACTAACGCAACGTGTTGACTGATACCTGCACGCACGGAGAATGGCGGAGGGAGGAGGAGGAGGCGGAGGAGGAGGAAGGACAACTGAGGAAAATAACAATGCTCTACTCAGGCGTGCCCAATCAAGAAGCCGAGGTCACGGCGGGAGGCCGCGCCCTCCTTGAACGCCTGCTGCCAAGCGTCGCTCGTGTCCATCCCCTGGCCGTCCCGGGCTGCGTTCGTGGCTTTGAACGTGGCGTAGATGAGCAGCGCACAGCGTGCGAACCACGAGCTCTGGTCCACCGTGAAGCGTGGCTCCAACATCAAGAACTCGTCCAAACGTGTGCGAGGCTCAGGGATCTCCAATCCGAGTTTGCGGCGTGCCAGGTCCGCAAGAACGCTGCAGAAAGCGTAGTGTTGTATGCTGTCTTGACCACAACCGCAACCAAAGAGGCACCGGGATCTCCTCTGCATGCGACTGTGGGTTGTCCACCCATCAATAATAGCTCTCAAGACCGCCGCCCAAACACACAGCGACGTGAACTTGCTGATCCCCTGGAACATGGCGAACGCCCGGCTGGCCCTGTGGCCAGGGAGAACCTGCAACGGCCAAACGTCAAGACGGCGCCGCACATGGCGGTGGAGATCTCCAGGCACCCGCGTGCGCAGTAAGACGGAGCAGCGTTTCTGCCAACGTTCTTTGGGGATTGCCACGGCCTGACCCCCTTGCACGTACTCGTGGACCGTGAGCCCGCCCCTGGCAGCCTTGACGGCGAGACTGTCCTGGGCCCGCGCCACGTTCGCGAGAAACTTGTACTCTGCCCACTTCTTCCAAGCAGCCCGGCGGTCGAGCCAAGGGCACGCGGTTACCGCCCAATCCAGTGCACGAGAGCGCCAGCTAATATTGAAACCGCAAAGATCCAAGTTTTCCCAACGACAAACACGGAATTTCGCCGCCAAGGACGCGGCCTGGGCGTCTGGGATCTCTGTCGGGAATCCCGAAGCCTGAAGTTGACCCAGCACTGCAGGCGTAGCCCAACCCCGAGGTCCTGGGAAGAGGGTCTTGCACAGCGCGCGCTCTACGTCGCCCCAATCCGGCGGCAAATCCTCGAACTGAACCAAGAAGCTTGGCTAGGAGAAGATGTACACGCGGCACGCGTTCATGAATGCCGACATCCCTCCGCCGATGGAACGCCATAGCTTCGCCCTCTCCTACATCTTCTGAATTACACTCGTCCAAGAATGGTGCTGCCGATCAGGGCCCATGTAGAAACCGAGCGAGGTACTTGGCCCGGCCGGCGATGGTAAAGTCGCCCCACGTGGGCGCGCATCTCAGAATATCTTCTCTGGCCGCCGCGTGAGACTTGCAAGACAGCGAAATCCAAACATATTTGCAGTGGTGAAGACGCAGTCTAGAGACGCACGTGTACTCACTGAAGACGGTCTCCAGCACCCCCAACTCGCGATGTCCTTCTAGGAGCACCATCGCAAGGTCATCGGCGTATGCGCGAAGCACTGACCGGGGGAGTAGCCGCGATAGCCTTCGCAGCAGCACGTCCGAAATCACCGCGAAGATCAAGGGCGAGAGCGGGCAACCCTGCCGGACTCCAGCGGACAGGTCAAAGCCTTCCTCGGCAACGACCCCCAGCGAAATGCTGCAGCTGTTGGGCCAGTACAAGATTTCCACGAGTCTCGTGACCCAGCTGGGCCAGCCGCGGTGCCTGAGCACTTCCAGAATGAACCCGTGGTCGAAGCTGAGGAACGCCGCTTCGAAGTCGAACAGAATGGCCGCAAGGTCTTGGCAGGAAAAAGCCGCGTTGAGCATCGCCTCTTCGATGTCCTGCACATTCGCAAGCATTGAGCGCCCCTTCAAAAATCCCCGCTTGACAGAAGATATACCCGGGGATACGATGGGTTTAATATGCAATCGAACTGCCCCGCATAAAATGCGATTATCGGTGCTCGTAATGCTCAATGGGCGCATGTTGCCAGCCAGAAAGACATCTGTGCCGTCAGCCAGCGCGGCCGTCGCTTTCTTCAGCAGGAACACCATCAAGCTCTCGTTGAAGGTGCCCCACTCCTCCTGCACAATGAGCATGCCGTCGTCGCCGACTAGCTCCAGGAACGCAGCGTGGAGGGCACTGGCGGCGACGTCCACGATTCTGCGCCAAGCTCTGACAGGGATACCATCCTTGCCTGGCGAACTGTCCCCTGTAAGGAGAATGGCCCGTCGGAAGGTGTCCAACGGGACGCTCTGCCATGGCAAATGCGAAGTATAATCCTGCGGAAGGTTCTCTGCGTCGACCTGGAGGGTAAGGTTGAGGATGAGGATTCTGTGTGCAGCTGCGCGAGCAGATCGAAGGTTCGCCTGCCAAGTGGTCTATGATGCAACGGCAGCGGCTTCGCTTAGCCGAAAATAGGGCCGTCTGGGCACTGAAAACCACAAAAAGGGAAAAGGGTTCCCTGGCAGCAGCACGTTCAAACTCCGTCGACCAGCTGTGGCAGGCCGGTGAGGGCCGGAAAGCCAGGGGACTCTGTTGCGAAGGGCTGCGTTCTGTACAGTGCCGTTGATTCGCTCGGACAAGTAGACGAGGATGATCAGGAGAGGGGAAGAGTCCTCCTCCTGTTTCTACTCCTCCTTCTTCACCTCCTTCTTCTGCTCCTGTGGCCCGAACACAAAACACGGCTTTGGAACTAATCGCCTCTGAGCTCTAGTCCCTCGGAACACGCACGCGCGTTACGCGCTTAGGTTCTAGTCAGCACCCGCGCTCGACTTGTTCACTGATGCGTGCATGTGCGCATGTTGTTCACAGCTGTTCGCAGTTCCTTGACAAAGTCACCACTGTAGTGGTGTCTCCTACATGGTGCGAACCATTGAATGCGCTCTCGCCGCCATTGTTGCCACTGCGACGGCCGCCGTCGCCGCCGTCGCCGTAGCCGTCGTCGACGGCATCGGCGTTGAAAGACTTAGGAAGCTTCCCCATATTTTACGTGGTTGCCTGGTCCCCTCCTCCTTCCTCCTCCTCCAGGAACGCATCGGACTACGATTCGAGCGGAGTTGCAGGAGGAATGAATTGAACAGCTGGAATAAGATCGTTAGCTCGCTTCCTTTTCACTTCGATGTTCGTAGCGCGCGTTTCCCGGCGCGCTGAGGTTCTAGCACGCCCCAGCCCGTGACCAGCTCACAGCTGCACTCAAATAGACACGCACAGTTGCCTTGAACATGAATTGAAGAAATAATGAGACCGCGGATCCAACTCAGGCGAATCGACACGGGCACACCCGAAAAAAAAGCGAAGCTATGCAACGACGGGTGCCCTTTTGGGCCATCTCTCGCGGACGTCGCGAAAGCCTCTTGAGCTATCCAAGCTATTTCTTGGGCAGTCTTGGGACTCCTTTGAGTCGTCTTGAAGTCTCTTCTAAGCGACGTGGGAAGCTTTGGGGACATCCTAAAGAGCCTGGTGGGTCGTCCTGGTGCCGATTGTGTCCAAGCCCTCGTGGGGCTTCTTTGGGTTCTCTTTGGATCGTCTGGGGAAGCTCTCGGGGGCATCTTGGAAGCCTACTTGGGGCTATTGGGGGCCTCTTCGGGGCACTTTTTGTTTTTTCCTGAATCAATCGGATTCCTCCAGCGTGGGAGTGCTCAAGGTCGTCACGCCCATCTTCACTGCCCTTCCAGGTCCAGGTCACGGAAAAAAACAGTGCTTGGTTCTGCGGGAGTCGAGCCATACCCTGCAGATGACGACGCGCAAAGCGGAGGTGAACGGAGTGAAGGGGGAGAAATGGATAACGCACTGCCCTGGCGGACGCCGCGCAGTGATCGCGCCTAGCGTGCACAGAGAAGGGGACAGGCAATAGCCCATCCAGCGTGCTAGCAAGGTGCGACTCGCCCCCAGAGAGGATCACGGGGCGGGCCGCCAGCACGTCTGCGGGACGTGCGCCAACTCGCCGCTGCCGCCGTCGCCGCTTGACTCTGCATTGCGCCTACTAGCGTGTGAGCGCACGCCCCGGCCACATGCCGCCGACCCAATACCGGCGGCGCCGAGGCCTGCACAGAAAGAGCTACACAGGCCACACCACGACAGGGCCTGCCCCCATGGCCAGGCCAGGAGACTATGCCCACGACGTGTCGGCGAAAAGGCCGCCCGAGGAGCCAGAGTCACGGAGTTCAGAGCCTGAGCTCCCCTGCCGCTGAATTGACGGTGACATTTAAACATGAACTGGCAATGGCACCAAAAATATAAATCGCACGTGCCACCCGCGCGCAAAGCGAAAACCAGACCTAGACAGAGCCCACGCCTGCGGGACGTGCGCTAACTCGCTGCTACAGCCGTCGCTGCTTGACTCTGCATTGCGCCTACTCGCGTGTGAGCTTACGCCCCGCGGACTCCCCGCCCACGAGGGGCAGATTGGCGAAGGGCTGTCTGCAGAGGTTCTTGAAAACAAGCCCGCAGAGGCGGCGCTCCAGCATGGTGACGGTGCGGTTCTGCTCGGCGCGCACCAGCCTCCGGACGCGGATGGTGATCTGCGCCTGCCGTTGGCGCATGGCCCGGGTTTCCCAGCCGACGTCGCTGAACTCTGCCAGCATCATGTCGGAGGTGTCGTCGACGCGGACCCTCGCCATCGGGGAAGGGGTACGGTCCTGCCGCTCTCGGCCGCGTGCCATGCGGTGGCGGCCTTGGTCTTGCACCTCCTCGGACGTACCCGAGCCTTGGTCCTCCGCCTCCTCCTTCTCATCCGCCAGCTCTGCCTCGTCGATGGCGTGGCGCTCGGGATCAGCGCCCATCAAACCCGTGTCGATGCCCACCCGAGCTGGAGGTTGGAATTCCTTCCCGCACATGTTTGTCACTGCCTGGTTCGCCGCCGCAGCCATGAAGAAACGCTTTTTGACGGGAATACCGTAGGTCTGAGCCCGAATGGCTTGAGCCAAACCCGCTTGAGCCAAAATGGATACGGAGGCCTCTTCGGGGCACTTTGGGGGCATCTCGGGGTCTCTTGGGGGCCTCCTTGGCTGTCTCAGAGCGTTCGTGGCCCGACAGACGCCTTCGGAGGCCGTTTTGAATGCCTCCGTGGGTAGTCTGGGCGCTTTCTGGGGCTGTCATAGGGCCGTCCTCGGGGCTTCTTGGGCTCGTCTTGGGTGCCCCTTTGGCCCTCTAGGGGTGACTCTGGGCAGTCTTGGGACCCTCTTGGGAGCTTCATTGCTCGCCTTAACAACAATGGGGGGCCACGCCAGCCGTCTTGGACGCTGTTAAAAGAATCTGGGCGAGAATGCAAAAATAGCACGAAATCCAATTATCCGTGAACGTTTTAAAGCTTTCGGAAGCTTCCTGGAAAGCCTCTCGGAATCCTTGGCCGCCTTGGGGACCTCTTGGGCCCTGGGCCCTTTTGCGACCATTTTGGGCCGTCTTGGAAGTGTCTTGGCAGACTCTGAACGTCCTGCGGGGTCGCCGAGTAAATTGGTAGGAGGCTCAATGGGGGTTGGGGTCGGCTAGCCGATACTGAATAACCTCAGCTCCATCAGGCTTTGTTATCCTGAGCTGTTTGTTCGCTCCAGGAGACCATGGAGGGATTGTGGAGCCTGGGAACGGCCGAAAACGTTCCGTCGTCGTCGTCGCCCGTGGGAGGGCCTCATGAATCCAAGTCCCAGAAGCCATTTTTGGAACCTGAATGGTGGGAATGTCTTGGAGGCTGTTTGCGGCGTTCCGTCGTCGTCGTCGTCGTCGTCGCCCATGTGAGGGGCCTGATGAATCATGCTCCCGGCAAGCCTTCTGGGGACATGATTTTTGGGAGTGTCTTGGGGCCTGCTTGCGGCGTTCCGTCGTTGTCGCCGCCTCTTGGGGAGGCCTTTTGAAGGCGCAAGGAATGATGTCCCCGGAATGCTTGTTGGCAAACTTATCCCAGTGCGACCCTACCTAGGAGTTGGAGCCTCTAGGAAAGCAACATTAGTAGGAGCGGTCAACGCCGTCCTCCTCCTTCTCCTCATCGCCGTAGTTGTAGCAGTAGCGGTAGTAGTAGTAGTAGTAGTAGTAGTAGTAGTAGTAGTAGTAGGAGTAGTAGTAGTAGTAGTAGTAGTAGTAGTAGTAGTAGTAGTAGTAGTAGTAGTAGTAGTAGTAGTAGTAGTAGTAGTAGTAGTAGTAGTAGTAGTAGTAGTAGTAGTAGTAGTAGTAGTAGTAGTAGTAGTAGTAGTAGTAGTAGTAGTAGTAGTAGTAGTAGTAGTAGTAGTAGTAGTAGTAGTAGTAGTAGTAGTAGTAGTAGTAGTAGTAGTAGTAGTAGTAGTAGTAGTAGTAGTAGTAGTAGTAGTAGTAGTAGTAGTAGTAGCGCCAGAACCGCCAACGCCACGCCGTAAGTGAAGCAGCAGCAGAAGCAGGCAGCAAGTCACCGAGACAGCAGCAAAAGCAAGCAGGCACGAAGATGAGGGCGGGGCACTGGGGAGTTTTTTACATCTACATCTATATCTGCACCTGGATTTACATCGACACCTACATATACATCTAGACCTACATTTACATCTACACCTACAGCTACATCTACATCTACACCTGCATCTACATTTACATCTACATCAACAGCGAGATTCACATCTACATCTACATCTACACCTACATCTACACCTACATCTACATCTACATCTACACCTACATCCCACCTACACCTACACCTACATCTACATCTACATCTACATCTACATCTACATCTACATCTACACTTTCGCATTGGTTTTGCTTTTGCTTTGCATTGCCTTTGCTTTTGCTCTTGCCTTTGCTTTTGCCTTTGCCTTTGCTTTTGCTTTTGCTTTTGCTGCTGCTTTTGTTTGGCGTTTGTTGTTGCTTTTGCTTGGTTTTGCTTTTGCTTTGCCTGCGCACAAACACACACGCATGTTTTTGCATTCGCTCACCGGGTGTGCTTGAGAATGCTCCGGATCTGGCCTACACCGCAACATTCCACATGGGTGTTATGTATACATACATATATACATATACATATGCATATATAGAAGGACATTTAGGACATGCGATAATACGTCGGGTTTCATGTCTCCCGGTCAGTGCTATGTGCGAAACCTTCGTGGATTCTAACGGCTCAAGCTGCCCCACTAAGGGCTCAATATGGCCCACAGACGGACAACATGCATGGAACATACGTGCGCACACACACATAGAAGTATATATATATATATATACATATATATAGCAGCAGCAATAGTGGATGCTGTGCTGCGCTATGCGATGTTATGCTATGCGAAGCTATGCTATGCTATGCTATTCTGCGCGATCATATGCTGGGCTAGGCTAGGTTATGCTATGCTATGCTGTGCTATGCTACGTTGCGCTATGCTATGCTATGCTATGCTATCCTTGTGCTTTGCCTTCGCTTTTGCCTTCACTTTTGCCTTTGCTTTTGCCTTTGCTTGGCACCCAGGGAGCGCAACTGGGTCAACCGCGCGTTTGTTTTTACCTTTGCTGTTGCTTTTGCTTGGCTCCCAGGGGACTGGGGGAACTGCCCGGGGCGGGGTGCACTGCCCGGCCCATTTGAGCTACAGAGTAAGAACCCTTCTAGGCAGAGCCTAGGTACGGAATAAATGTTAGAAAAGTCTTGGAGGGCTGCGTGGGGCGTTCCGTCTTCATCATAGCATCTTGGGAACCATGTTGGGGGCCTGATGAATAATGTTCCTGGCAGGCCTTCTAGGAACATGATTTTTGGGCGTACTGAAATCTTGGAGGGCTGCTGATGGCGCTGCGTCATTGGCGTCGGCCATGCCTAGGGCCTGATGAAGCATGTTCCCACAAGGACTCCTGGGAGCATGTTTTTTCGGGAATGTCATTGGGGGCTGCTTGGGCCGGTCCGTCGTCGTCGTTGCCTCTTGAGGAGCCATGTTGGGAGCCCGGTGAATCATGTTCCCGCAAGGACTGTTGGGAACATGAATTGTGGGAATGTCTTGGGGGGGGGCTTGCTTGGGGCGATGTTGGGGCGTTCCGTCGTCGTCGTCGGCCGCCGAATATCGCACACCTTTAAAACAACTGGGCGGGAAACCTGTGAAAGACCGAAGAGGACGAGGAGGAGCAGGCAACGAGGGGAAGAAGAAGAGCAGGAAGACGGTGCAGTCAGGTGATATTACCAGTGTCGTCATCCGATGAACCCCCTCCTGGTCCCTCCGGGGCCTCCCCCTGGCCGCTCAAATTATCTACGTAGGGGCTTTCGGCCCATCCTGCCTCTTGGAAGCAGTTTCGAAGCCTCTCGGGGCTGGTTTTGTCGGCCTCTTGGGGCCCCTTGGTGGCCTCTTGGGGCTTCTTGGGGGTCTCTTGGGGCCTCCTGGGAATTGATTATTCGGGCGGAATCCCGGATTTTTCGATTCGCTGTCCCCCCCCTGGGCCCCTCTTGGGGCCGCCTTGGGGCTCTCTTGGGCCCTCTTGGGCGCCTCTTGGGCCGTCTTGGCGCCCCCTCGGGCCGTCATAATGGCCTCTTGGGAGCCTCTGGGGCCGTCTTGGGGCCCCCGCCCTGTGGGCCCTGTGGTCCCTGTGGGCCCTCTTAGGCGCCTCTTGGGCTGTGTATGCGTGTTTGTGAGAAGGAGAAGGAGGAGGAGGGGAGGTGCGGGAGACGCGGGTGTGACGCGGCAGGGACGAAAACCAGACCCTCACGAAACATGTAGGGAAAAACACAATGGAAAATCAACGATTTTGACCTTTGGGGGCCTACTTCGGAGGCTTCTTTGAGGCTCTTGGGGCGTCTTGGGGGCTTTTTAGGTTGTCTTGGGGCCATCTTGGGCGTCTTCGGGGCCTCTTGAGGGCATCTCTTGGCCATCTTTAGGGCCCGCGTGGCCTGTCTTGGGCGTCTCCGGGAACTCTCCTGGGGGCCCAGAGCGCGCACGGCGAGTCTAGGCAGCTGGCTGGGAACCTCTCCGGGAACGCCCCCAGAGGCCCGGAGCACTCATGGGGGGTCGGGGCACTGGGCCAGGGGCCCCCATCCCTGTAGCCTGGTGTGTATAAATCTATATATATATATATATATATATATGTGTGTGTGTATGTGTGTATGTGTGTCTTCTCAGGGGGGAGGTGCCTAAGCGTGTGATGAGCGTGCGTGGCGATATAAACCTCTTGTAAAATCTGGACGGTGCAATGCTTCAACCCACAACGATCCAACGGGTCCAAGGCGAGGATCCGACATCGAAGCACGAGCGAGACAGACCAGGGGTGCCTAGGACACGACGCAGAAGGAGCCTGACGGCCCAGACAATTCTCACAACCGAAAATGCACGCGCCCCTGCCCCGCTCACTCAGTACGCGATACGACGTTAACCATCCACCCGCAGCCGTCCACAATCAGGCCCAGGACGAGGATGGAGGAACCGGTCGCAAGACACTTTTGATCTTCACAAAATCGATGGCATCGATGTAAGCAGCACGTTGAGGCCACCACTTGAGCGGTCATTCTCTGTTCCAAGCAATCTCGCAGCCAGAGTTCGCAGCAAACCAGGAACGCGGACCGTTGTACTTTCTGCTGCGGGCACTGATATTTGGCAGCAGTAGCGGCATCAGCAGCGGGGCGGAGGAGGAGGAGGAGGAGGAGGAGGAAGCAGGACGACGAGTGGGCGGCAGGAGGGAGGGAGGGAGGGAGGACGACGAGTGGGCGGCAGGAGGGAGGGAGGGAGGGAGAGAGGACGACGAGGAAGTACGACGAGTGGGCGGCAGGAGCGAGGCAGCGAGAGAGGCAGGCGAGGGGAGGGGAGAGAGGTGATGGAGGTTAAGGAGGCCGAGGACGAGGAGGAGGAGGAAGAGGAAGAGGCCGAGGAGGAGCAGGAGGAAGCCGACGAGGAGGCCGAGGAATTGGAGGAAGCGGCGGAACAGCAGTAAGGAGATAACAGGGGTGAAGGATGATAAGGGGGTTGGGGCCATAAAAGGGGAGGAGAAGGAGGAGGAAAACGGGTAAACATAACAACAGCAATGATCTTGGTAGTATCAAGAATATGAATATTTACATCGTGATAGCG